TCGAAATAACGTGCAGATGTGCATTATTTCGCGTAAATACGGTATAATAGAATATTCTACTAACTAAAGCTTTATCTCTACAAAAATTAGTTCAAAGTAGTCTATTTCTAGTTTTATACTCTTGATACTTTATTGACAATAAATCTATTTTTGTAGAATCAAGTTTATTATTTACTTCAGTATCTTCTATAACATTATTCTGTAATTTAGTTTGAACTTGTTGACCAAGAGATTATTGGAAAGAGTAAATACAGTTATTTTTATTATAGTTTTATAAAAATATTTATTTTGATATTAATATTATATTAGTATTAATTAATAATATTATGTTTATCTATTATCTCTGCAGTTTTGTTTTGTTTCTAAAATCTTCTTTTTATTTAATATCTGACTTTCTATATGCTATTCTTTTGTTTATATTTGTTATATAATCTGTAATTAAATTGTTTTGTTTATTTTTAAATCTATATTATATTTTGTGTAATAATAACAGATCTTAGTATAAAATCAAATGCAATTCTCCAAAAAATTGCTTGCAAAGGCTAAAATTTTATTAGTTCTTGCTATTTTTCTTCTTTTAATCCTAGGCTTTAACTTTTTTACCTTCATCTTATAAAAGACTAAATATTATTTTTGTATGTTTTCTCTTTTTATTTAGTACTGCAAACTATGTTTTCTTCAATGAAATATGTTTTTTGTTAATATTTTATTTATACCGAATTTGTGTTCAGAGGATCAGTGAAAAGAGTTAGTTGTATTCTACTGTAACTTTAACTATATTGTCTAGTTTAGTCTAGTTTAGTTAAATTTTTTAAATATATTATATATTTCATTTTTTAAATATATATATTATTAGAATAGAATTAAATACAAAGCTACTTTATCTTGTAATATATAATTTTTTAGGCCTGACATAGGCTTATAACTGCAACTATCAGATTCTTTTTTCTTTTTTCTTCTTAGTATTAGTTTTACTTTAGTTTTTTTGTTCTTTTTTTCTTTTCTTTTTAATATTAGTATTTGTGTTAGTATTTTTTGTTTTTTTTTTATTTTCTTATGAGAAGATTCATCCAATTGGTGGTATTCTATTGTAGAGCAGTAGTTTGACAAAGTCTTTTGGGTTATTATAACTTTATATTATTATATGTCATGGCTAATACTGAATTTGGCTGATATTGAATATCATATGAAAATTCAGGCCAGAAATTGCAGACCGCATATCGATCAGAGAAAAATCAAAACAAACCCTAACCAATAACAAAGTTTATCAAGTTCATTTGTTTTAGGGTTATCATCTATCTTAATATTAGGGTAGAAGGTTATACAGTAAAATTGTTTAAAGAAAACTTTTTGTTAGTATACAAAGTGTTGTTTTTTATAAAGATTTTTAAGAAATCAGCGATTTTTACAAAGAGACATTTGTTTTAAATTTTGTGATCGATATTTGATCTGCAATTTCTGGCCCGAATTTTCATATGATATTTAGCATCAGCCAAATTTAGCATCAGCTGTAACATTATATTTTCTTTATAGTTAGGTTATTCTAGTGTGGCAGATTACTTGAAAGTGCTTTTAGAAGTAATTACAAGATATTAGGCCTAAATATTAAGCTCAATATATTGTTATACTTGTATTAAATAATCTTAATAAAGGATTACTGGCAAGACTTACTAAAGTAAAAAAAATAGTAAAAATAACAAAAACTATAATAAAAATAATAATACTCTTTATAAATATTAAATTAATTTTTATAAATAAAAATAAATTAAATTTAAATTAATAATATTACTAGAATTAATTTTTTTAAAAATTTTTTTTTTACTTTTTTTTTTTACTTCAGCGATCCTTTCTTTATTTTTTATATCAGCAGTATCTTATAACAAGATATCTCAGTTAGCTAAACCTACATTATCTATAAGAAATACTTTATGCCTGTTACAAATAAAGAATTTCTTGATCCATCTTATTATCACAGTAAAAATGAAGTTAACCTCAAATTTATACTAAAGTACAACCCAGGAGCGACCTGCCTAAGTGAATATTTTTCTTCTTCCAGGATTCTCAACTTACTGAGAATATGAACCCCAGAGATTAAAAGATGGTTTTCACTAACCTTGTCAAAATCACCGCTCTACAATAGAGTACCACCAATCTGATGACACTTTCTCGTAGAGAAATAAAAAAGAAAAAAAAAAGAGTAAGTGTAGAACAAAAAAGAGGTAAGTAAAAAAAAAACAAATATACAAAGAAGATGACCAAATTATAAAAGAGTTAAAAGACTATCCTAAAATCTAAAAAAACTTGTCTACAGATATAAACCCTGCTAACTGAGTAAAAAACTATCTAAATGGTCATAGAAATCTAGATATAGAGCTATTTGACAAAAGAAACTAACTTGCACTTTGGTTTATACTAAGAACTAAAAATTATATGCCTACAACTTCGGAATAATGTATATCTCATATTACTACTCTAGTTGCCAACTCTCATATTAAATCCAACTTGGGTCCTAGAGTAACTGATCTTAAAGTCTTGACACGTGATCGTTGATTTTAATTTCAGCCTCAAAATTTCCTCTTTATGTGTGTTTGTTGTTTTCTTTATTCATCATAATGCAACTCAAGACTTTCTGAGAATAGAAGTGGTAAACAATACTGATCCTTTGCTGATCTTTTGGAGAGGATAACCAAATCTCACACTTTTTGACGAAAATTATAAAGAAAAAGAACAGCGGAAAAAAAAGTGTAGTTTTGCAAGTTTTCTAACTAAGAAGTGTTATTTCAAGAGCTCTTTATAGCCTTCTGTTTCCAACGTAACTTGAGTCTTTTTTCTATTTACTGTTTTCAAATACTCCTCCAGTTTGGATACCGAACGCAAAAGGGAGTCCACCCAGAAAGAAAGAGAAGCAAAAAGGCTTGACCCCTTTGCAAACCATTCAAAACACCCGCTCCTCAGTGTATCACATTCAAGACTTCGTCGACAACAGTTCGTATTAAGAAAACTTTAAGTTATTTGTTTCCTTCTGGTCTTGAGTCTTCAACTTGCTTTTGGAGACTAGTTGGTACAAGTGATCATTAGAGTGAGTTGATCTAAGTTTCCTTTATTAAAAATTTTTATTTTATTTCTATTAAAATTTTTTATATAAATAAGTAATAAAATATATATTTTTATATTTTTTATAATTTTTCATTTAAAAATTATTAAAAAAGTTTATCTTTTAAGCAAAATAGATTTATTTTCAAATTTTAATTTCAGGTTTCAAAATATAAAATAATTTTGTTTATATATATAGTTTAGAAAATATTTTAAATAAATTATTTTTATTTTTAAAATATTTTAAATTTAATAAGTAATCAAAATTAATATTTTAAATTTTAAAATTAAAACAAAAATTTATATAAATCTAATAGAATTTAATATCTCTAATAGTTTGATTAACTAGTTTTTTGATTGATTTATATATAATTATTGTGAGGAACCAATACAAGACTAGCTAATATTATATGATTGGCTAGTTGTTGATTATTAATCAACATCTAGACAATTATATCACGTTGACCCATAATTATATTGGTTTCTCACAATTATTAACCATTTAAATTTTTATAATATTTAATTTAATTTGTTATTTTATATAAAGAGTAAACCAAAATAATATATATTGATAACATGAATTTACTAAATCTACTATTTATAAATCCAAACCTATAATCAATTAGCTTGAATATATTCTAAAACCAAGCTGACTTAATTAAATCTAATCTGCGTCTTTCATTATTAGAAAATTTATTTCATCTCAAACACATCAAAATCTTAAGTAGCAATTTTGTTTTGATGCATGTTGAAGTTTTCTATTAATAATTTGAATAATTTGTAATTCAAAATTAATACCGTATATAGTACCCAGTGTGACGTAATTTTTTAAATAGTGAAAAATTAAAAATCACATGTATTTTATATCACATAATCGTATAAATAATATTTTAAAAAATTGATCTAAAATTAATCTAAATTATTTGTCACGCATGGTACTATATAAACGCTATACGGTAATCATGTTTTTAACTTTGAAACCAAATCTATAAATGTTGGCATAAATTTCGACAACTGGTATAAATTTTGATCTAACAAAGTCACTGAAGCAATGTAAGACCTGTAAATAAAAAAATCATTTGCTAATTAAATAACTTCCACCAAGCATACCTTGACAAATACTATTGGCCAGATTTGATTCACATGTTTAATTTAGTTTTGGACATTTTTGAATGTTTGAGTTCGGATTTTGGCGAAATAATATTATCAATATTTCGGGTTCGGATTGGGCGGAATATTTAGGTTTCGGCTGAAACATTAGTTTTGGTGTTTAGACAAAGATATATTTTATTAACAAAATTTTGCAAGAAATCTTTTTGTTAAAACCAAATGTAATTTTATAATTTAGTTCTGAGAAATAAAAATAGCAGTATGCACGCAAGTAGTGTACAAACAGAAAGGCTATTTAAAACCAACTATTTAAATCTGTAAATATTTGCTATTTAATATTTTTTATTTAATTTTAAGACTTTTGAATTTAAATTTATGTAATAATAGTTACTGAGTGTGGTTCTCAACTTTCCTCATTATAGAGTCTTTCTCATTCAGCGATCTCTTCACTAAAGTTTTTAGGCAGATATTTTAAAAATTTTCTAACAGCTCTATTAAAACTCGTTTCAACATTTTTTATTGTTATTGGAGATAGATTTCGTAAAGTTTCATTGTAGCTTTTTACTGCCCACATATGATAGGCGTACTGGTTAGAAAAATTATAGTCATTTGATTTGAAGACTAATTGAAGGTGCTCTTCAAGCCAAGTCGGCCAAAAAAATGCAGTTTTGTTTAAAACATGTATATCATAGCTGTATTCTTTTGACATTTGGTAAGGCAACCGAGTTGAATGACTGTTCCAGTTACTATCATCAAAATTCTTGTATCCTTGTATCCATCTGGTTAGAAAAGGAGCAAATGGTCTGCTGATAATTACCGCGTTACAAAGAAATTGCTCCCAAGCTTCCTCAATGCCCATAGTAAAATCATCATAGAGAAGATCATCGAATGGTTGAAAGACTATTATATCAATATCAAGATAAATGCCACCAAAGTCTCGTAACACTTCCATCCGTATAACATCTGACTTATGCTGCAAAACTTGTACAGGATTACCGAAAATTTCGGTGACTATTCGTGTTTCCCTAATGCTTAATTTAGGCTTTATGAGTTGATACCAGTAACTTTTTGGTTCATAAATACAATGAAAATAGGTTTTTTCTGGCTTAATAGTCTCGATCGCCGAAGTCATAGCAAGCCAATGGACAAAATCAAAGGGTAAATTATCTGGATCTTCATTAACATATACATAATGTAATATTTTTGGTACTTTTTGAGTTCGGCTTGGTACTGCACAGTTACAGTTATCTAAACCTATTAGTAATGAGTATTGAAGAATGTTAAAATTATATTATTATCTGTTATGAATAATTTTTAATCATGCCCTGAAATCCAGACATGTCATATACATATACTTCACGCGATGATGAATTATTGCATCAGCGATTTCGAGATTCGACTAAGAAATTTATCAAATATAGGGCATATTATTAATAATAAATTCATTTGAACGTGAATCAAATTTAATTATTATTAAATATCAGCCGATTTTAAATATGTCGGGTTATTCTCTATATGGGTGGATTTTGCATGCTGGGGATTTCAGGGCAGAACTTCAACTTTTACAGTTTATAAAGTTTAATTCCAATACCTTTATCTACGAATGTTTCGTAGTGCGATCGCGAAGGATCCAGCTCAATGAAGCTACTCATATAATATCCTGTCATGAATAAAATAAGTCCTAACATAAAAGAGACAAGCCAACTTTTGTTTATTTGTAAAAAAGCCATTGTAACGGATTTTTTTTATAGTAAATCAGAGTATAGTAGGAACGGAGTGCAACGAAGATTATGGTTTATATGGGAAGTGAAAGGGAATAACCGAATCTGCGTATCTGATTGAATATCATTTTTATACGTATATTATTAAACGTATTTTAATATACAATACAAAAATGTATATACATACAAGATTTAGTCAGGTTTTACCTATTAACCGTTTAAACTATCAAACAGGAGGAAACGTTGATACGTCACAAAATCGTTACACAATTGATAAAAATTTTTTTTATATTATTTTACAATAC